GTAAAAAGAAACAGGTAAAACTAATTTTATAATATATTTTATTTAACCCAATATATCCAAAATATGTTATTTTGGCATGTAACAAATCTGAAAATATTGTTAATGAGTATTTTACCTTCTATTTAAAATGTGTGTATTTTACACTTAGAACACAACTTGCATTAGTCATATTTCAAGTGCTCAAGAGTCACATTTGGCTAGTAGCTACCGTATTGGACAGTATAAACATCCTGTTAAAAGGCACAGATTGTCAGATTAGGTTAAAAAATATGTCTACAGGGAACCTGTTTTAAATATGAAGACACATATAGGTTAAAAGTAAAAGGATGGAAAAAATATACCGTGCCAACACTAAACAAAGGAAAGATGAAGTAACTATATTCATATCACACCAAGTAGATTTCAGAGCAAGTCATATTACCAGTGATAGACTTTTCATAATGGTAAATGGGTAAGTTCATCAAGAGGATTAACAACCTAGATATGTGCACACCTAACAGAACTTCAAAATAGATGAAGTAAAAACTGAGAAAATTGGAAGGGGAAATAGACAAATTTATAATCACTGTTGAAGATTTCAGTACCTCTCTCTCAATAATTAACTGTTTCCAAGGCGAAGTTAAATCTAAGTGATGCTTGGTAAGAGAGGAAACATCTTGCCAAACATTAAGCCCAACTAGACAAACCTAGCACAGGGAGTAGCTTTTCCTTAGGAAATAAAAACTGCGTAAGAAGGGAAAAAAAATCAGAGAAAATGAGATAAATTAGTTAAGTGAATATGATGGGGTCTACGATATGCTATGCACTCTAACATGTGGAATAAAATGACCAGAATGGAAGTTATAGTGTTTCTAACATGACTCATGGGAAGATTCCACGTCATTATAGTTTACCTCTTTAAAGTGTTTCTTAGTAGAACTAGTCCTATTGATAAACCAGGGATTTATGTGAGGTCACAGGGAGAATAATTACAGTTGTCATGACTCCATAAAAATAGATGTTGCCTGCCTCTCTTTCTCTAAAACCTTGGCAGTAAATCTAATAATTTGTTACTTGAATTTGCATGTGAGAAAAATCCTGGACACAGTGAGGGGTGCAGTAACATAGAGCTTACCTGAAGTCTGCCTTCTTGGTTTCTATAATATTATTAGATCTTTTTAGGAGTGAGTGACCTTCTGACTCAATATTCAGGGGTTGTTGCTTGGTTAGTCTTTCGGGTTTTCTGGTTGACAAGGATAAGTCTAATTTAAAAATCAGAATGAGGGAGACTTCCCCAGTGGCGCAGTGGCTAAGAATGCGCCTGCCAATGCAGGGGACACGGGTTCGAGCCCTGGTCCAGGAAGATCCCACATGCCTCAGAGCAACTAAGCCCGTGTGCCACAACTACTGAGACTGCGCTCTAGGGCCTGTGTGCCACAACTACTGAGCCCGCGTGCTGCAACAACTGAAGCCCACGCGCCTAGAGCCTGTGCTCCACAACAAGAGAAGCCACCGCAAGTAGCCCACGCACCACAAGAAAGAGTAGCCCCCACTCGCCACAACTAGAGAAAGCCTGTGCACAGCAACGAAAACCCAACACAGCCAAAAATAAATACAATTAAATCTTTAAAAAAAAAAATTCAGAATGAGTATGTAGAGGGGAAAATCTGGAGGGGTAAAATAGGAAAACAGCTTTTTTTCCCCCTGAAAGTTATCTTGGTCTCTGCTCAGGAACACTGTCATGCTCAGGACTTTTAGAACATTTATTTCCTAAGTCAATTATAAGGGTTCAAAGTGTGAAATTGGAAAGGGTTAAAGTCAGGATTGTATTGTGAAATGTTTTACTTCTATATGCATGAGAAAACAATAGTTTGGCTGGTTTACTGCGTGAGAAGGAGGATACAAATAACAGTCATTTATGTCATTGTGGTAACATACAGGAAAAGGATTGAATCCTTAGTTTGAAAACATGGTAGGCTTTTCTTTTAAAGAGAAGCTTTTTTCAGCTTCAACCTGGCAGCTCTTCAAATAAAATCACAAAGGAATAAGACACTATAAACAACCATTCCACCCCCAGACAGGGCTGCATAGACAAGTAGGCACTCATGGCCAAAGCTGCGAAGGCAGCAGGAAGGGCAGCTCTTCAGGCACCAGGAGCTGCAGCAAGCAGAGGCAAGTGTGGGCCCCCAAAAGAGGGACAAGTGCAAGACAAACAGTAGGCACAGGGCTGACTTATTACTCCTAGCCCCCTATTCCAAAGGGAATTGAAGATCTTCTGAAGCTAAGAGAGTCCTGTGTGCAGAGAGGCTCTCACCATGCAAGGGGAGGGACCCTCGTCTTCACAAAATGCAAGCAAATGCTCTGACCATCACTGCTCCTCTTTCATCTTAAGCACTGTGATCCCTTCTCTCATTTCTTTTTCCTTTATCTTCAGCCCTCTGTGAGATGACGTGTAGGATTCTTTTTGTTCTCCTAACTCCTAGCTTGTTTTTTTGGTATGATTGTGTCTTGGCTGAACTATGGCAATTTTCCTCATTTGTATAGAGTAAGAGCTGAAAAACTGAGGAGAAAAACTCGGATCTAAATTCTGCCTCAGATGTCAGATTACATGTCCTCAGTTAATGGGAGGGAACATTGAAGCCACTAAACTCCCTCCTACTGAGATACAGTAGAAATGAAAAAGAACCCAGACGACTCCATAGAGCTAATTAATGAGCTGACTTTGGAGGAAGCCATTTCCCTCTCAGTGGAGAAACCTTGGTTGGAGGCAGAACTGAAGCAGTGGAAGAGGGATTCTTAGTGTGGTGTCCTGATCACTAGGTCTCTGTTCCTGTTCAGCTGGCTTGGTCTTTAGCTTTATAGGTCCACTCTCTCAAAATAACAAAATGAAATAAGAAGCCAAACAGCTCAGTCTGTGTAGGTCCAGCTAAACTTAATTGGTTTCTGGCACTCTTTCCCCCTGAAAAATAGGATAGTCATGTGTAGCATGACACTCATTTATGTCATCCTTTTCACTTCAGGGTAACGATCCCAAAGGTGGTATACCCCTCTGATGGGCACCTGGGGGAGATATATCTCCGTGGCTTTCATGTGCTTGGCTATCCTTGTCTCTCTCTGATTTCTTCTACTTCCGTCCTAAGTCCTTGTTGCCTGTTGTAATATATAACTTGTCTGCCCCCTTGGAGGGTTTGGCTTACAGTGACTGACATGTTGTCTGCCTGTTCACTTCACCCCCTGGATTGAAGGGTTTATTTAGCCTCATAGCATGGCTAATATTGTGGGATAGAATGCCAGAGGAATCAGTCCCTTCCTGCTGATTTTCTCTCACTAGAGGATGTAGATTATAGCTGTGAAATCTGTGCTTGCTGAGCAGATCCTCCTGCATTCCTGGCTGCCTTCACAAGCCGAGAAGCATCCTTTAGCACCATTATCTTCGGGGGCAGGGTTAGATTAAAAACCTGGATTGGAGAAATCTGTGATCCTAATTGTGTCATAATTCATTGTCATTATTGTAAATAGCTGAGCTCCAGTTACCTGTTGGGCATCACTCAGCAGAGAATTAACCACAACCTGAGTCCTCTGGGCCTGTTGTTCTGTTCAGAGATGCAGGAAGAACAGTGTCTTCCTTCAGTCCTGGGTCTCCCTCCCACCACCCTCAGAGCTCTGCTTCATGGTGAATGTGGTTTCCCTGCAGCTGCTTAGGCATCCTCGTCTATAGGCCCTTTTTCTGGTCTAGACCACGCTCCGGTGTGTTCCTGGCAGTGTTCCCTGCTGCCTCCCCAGTATGTAGTTGCCTACTATTGGGCAGTAGCTCACTGCTCTGGCATTCTAGTGTGTAAATATTTGTCAAAGGACGGTGGTGTTTTCCCTTTCCCCAAAAAGCATTCTGAAAAATGTGCCTGTTTTCTTAGTCATATTTCCAAGCTTTGGATCAGTTAGCCCATTCATTCCTTGCAGTTGACAGACACTGGCCTGACCTCAGCTGGCCACATAAAGTAAGTATGCAGTAACTTCCGGCACAGTAACTTTCAAGCTTTGGTACCAAGGAGTCCTGGACTTAAAGGAACCATGGACGACATAGTCATTGTTAGAGAACACATTGTTTCATTAACATATCTCCTGTATCAAGCATTTTAATTTCTTTCACTTGTACTTGATATTGAAGGCATAAATGAAATCAACAAAAATGAGGCAGCTAACCATATAGATTCTGGGGGAGAACTTTACTCTTCATGTGTGTCATTTTACTTTCAGGTCTCATGTAATGTAGGTTATACTATATCCATGTCTGCCTCTATAAAGGTGACATTGCTGAGCTACTACCAGTTTAGAGATGTTTTTCCAGTATAGTTGATGGTTTATTCTGTCACTCAATTCTACTTGAGGCCAAAACAGTTTGCTTCTGCTACGTGGCTTGTTAGGCTGAAAATGCAATCTTTAGTCATGGAGCAGAATTTTCTATCTTTGTGCAGAATCAGGAGACCTACATAGAAGGATTGAACTACTGATCTTAGCTTTATTAACACTAGACTCTGAGCTCAGGATTTATTTAAATTACTCGCACAGTCCCGATAGATTAAAGGAACTGCTAGTGTGTACCTCATTAAACTGCTTGTACTCCTTCCTTTCCTTTTCTCTGAGTCTCACCTTGTACCACCCCTTCCTCCTCATTTTCCAGTTTTTTTAACCTGATCTTCAGTCTTCTACAAGTCCTGCCAACATCTTCCCATATGTATCTGGACCCATATATATACACATATGTGTGTGTGTGTGTGTGTGTACACACACACACACACATCAGCTTTTTCTGTTTTCACTGTTTATAACCACCTCAACACCTTCCTCCCTTCTAGTCAGAATTTGATATAGGGACATGAGGCTGTTGGGTGTTGAAGTCATAATTGAATTGATTAGGAAACTAACCTATGCTGTGCAATATAGCAACTGTGTTTCCTTCTTACAGCACAACTATTTTGAAAGGCTGGAGTATCTATTTTAATACATATACTTTCTTCCCACAGATCATCAATTTCTACATGAATATGCTGATGGAGCGAAGTAAAGAGAAGGGATTGCCAAGTGTGCATGCATTTAATACCTTTTTTTTCACTAAGTTAAAAACGGCTGGTTATCAAGCAGTGAAACGTTGGACCAAGAAAGTGGATGTCTTTTCTGTTGACATTCTTTTGGTGCCCATTCACCTGGGAGTGCACTGGTGTCTTGCTGTGAGTGCCTCTTTTATCACTGATAAAATTTAAAAGAAATCTATATAATTATAGAATACACAGAGAGTAGTGAATATTAGTTCTACATTTTCACTAGATGACTGACAGAAAAAGTAGCATTTAGTTGTCTAAAAATTGGATAGATCAGTGAACTCCCTGTCAAGAGTGGGAGATACTTAGTCTTGGAAGAAAGCTGTGGAGTTTTCCTTTTCTGGAAATATTTTAAAAGGGAGTTATAAGTCAAAGCAGGCTAAAGGCAAGGCATGGGGAGTAAAAGTGACTTCTTAATGATGCTGCCAACTCAGATTCTATGACTGTTATTTTCTGCCTAATCATGACTTGTCTTGCATACTTGGTAATTTAATATTTTTTATGACTCTGAGAACATGGATACATGAGCTTAATATATTAATAAAAGTATTTCACAGTCTGTTTTGAGTTACCTTTGAAAAGCATAAGCCAAAAGGAAATTCTCCAAGTAAAGAAACAAAACCTAGACTCTTTTACCATCTTTCAGAAAATGTATGGAAATTATCTCACTCAACTTACGTCCTCTGAAGAGCATGTTTTGTCTTCACTGTTACCCACAGTGCAGATGGAGAACCTGAATACTAGAAAAAGGTTTCAGGGCAATTACTGGAGCCACCAGTCAATTAGCCCCCATCGTAGTTCTGAGTAAATAATCCCCCTGTTCTTCTCTCCTCTGCAGATTAAGCATGGTATAATGCTAAGCATCCATCAAACTTGTCATGCTATCATAGGAAATCTGGCAGAAGGTTCCAAATTCCAGGGAAGGAAAAAGCTGAGAAACCAGTTTTCTTCACTTCATAAACACAGATTTTTTTTTTTTTTAATTCCCAGGTTGTAGACTTTAGAAAGAAGAATATTACCTATTACGACTCCATGGGTGGGATAAACAATGAAGCCTGCAGGATCCTCTTGTAAGTAGGGAGTTGAGGACAAAGAGATTGATGTTGGGTATATGTTATGTTTTTCCAGCTATTGAACTCAGTTCTCTGATCCCTTCAATGTAGTGATTAACAAAGGAAATCTTTATCTTGAATAAGAATGGGTATTTTCCATCTAAGTAAGTAAAGCTTAATAATAATATAATACCAAAAATACACCCTAATGGGGATAATTACTGTCCCAGTGCTCTAAATATAGAGTGGATATATACATATAGATATAGAAACTACTTAGAAATCATCTACTCCAACCTCCTAAATTTTCAGATGAAGAAACCAAGACCCACAGAGGTGATTTACATTTGCTCAGGTCCTACTAGTTAGTGGCTCAACTGGGAACCAGAATGCAAATCTCTTTATATCCCATCTGTTTCTCTTTCCAAAATGTCTATTCCTCACTGTACCATTTTGGCAGCCAGGAGGGGGCTGGGTTCCAGAATGGTGAGCAGTTCACACTTAAGAAGAGTGCTGTATATGAGGTATGCACTCAACAAATTGTTGATTTGGATTGAATTTTCACACAGGAGAATCAAGACCATAAATAAATAAATACCTCAGTATTGCTGGAGAAACAGTTTTCTTCCATTAGATTGAGTTCTGTAGGCCCATATAAACCAAGGAGAAGAATCAGAACTTGTTCCTCAGGACGGACAGTAGGTAGAAAGAGCCTGGGTATCAAAGGCAGATGTCATGCTTCTCTTGGGTTGACAGGGCAGGCCTGAATTGTGGGACCTCCAAAGGAAGCTTAGCAGTCCAAAGATTCCCTGCCCAGTAGTATATACAGTTTTCCTTAGACGTGCAGAAGAAAACTCTTCCTAAGGATTGTCAACCCCATTCTTGCAGTGGCAGCTGTCATCACTGCTCCCCAAGCTCATCTCATTCTCTCCCAATACCTTTAGGCAATACCTGAAGCAAGAAAGCATTGACAAGAAAAGGAAAGAGTTTGACACCAATGGCTGGCAACTCTTCAGCAAGAAAAGCCAGGTACATTGCTCCTTGATGAGATGGAAATCCTGAGACTAGGGTATTAGAAAGAAAAGGATTTTACTGCTTGGTCCCCAGAGACCTTCTGTGTTAGTGTCTAGCCTCACCTCAGCTTGGTCGTTTGGTTCCTTGGGGAAGATAGAGTAAGCTGTCTGTGGGAAACTAGTATTGTGTTTCTTATAAAGAACTAGGTTTTATAAATGCCCAGCTATTTTGCTAAACTTTCATCTGTGGGAAATGTTTGCAGATTGTTTGGCCCTTGTGGGAGGGGCCAGCTTTTACACCCTTGGGTGTCATGGAAATCTAAGATAGTCTCCTGTGTGATTAATATGAAATACACAGGCTGGACTGAGATGCTGAATTTTTTTCTCTGAGCCTCTGTTGTTCTGAGTGGGGGACCAGGGTCATCTCTTCAAAATTCAGGGAAACCTGTAAAATTTATATCCTTTGGCTCTTACTTATAATCAAATAAGAAAGAAGGAAGCTTGGAAAGATGTCACTTTTTTTTATTGTTTTTGGCCTTTCAGGAAATTCCACAGCAGATGAATGGAAGCGACTGTGGCATGTTTGCCTGCAAATATGCTGACTGCATTACCAAAGACAGACCAATCAACTTCACACAGGTGAGCCAAACCTTCAGGAGGGATGAGTACCCCATCTCCAGGCTGCCAGATAGATGTTTTTCCCTCCACTTGCTCCACTTAGGGGGCTCTGCTTCAGCTTGTGGCTCATAACACGGGTGGTTACTGCCTGTGCCGCCTCACAAGAAAAAGGGTAGTGATAGGCCACATCCTATATCACATATTGTGATGTATGGGCAGAGCCTTCTTCTCCGCCCATCTCTCCCACCTACCTCAAATCCTGTGAGAAGCAGAGAACTGGGACCAGAGCAGGTTTCCTATAGTTTCCCTTTATTTGGGTAGCAGTTAAGTTTTGGAACAAGCCACACCTTGATCTAGTATAATTTGTTATGCTGCCCTCTTCCCCTGCCCCTCACTTGATGCAGCTGGTCAGTCTTCTTATAGTTTGTGATTGTTTATTTCTGTCCATGTGGTCCTTCGGAGACCAAGGTGGATTGAGACTAGAGATTAGGGGTTATTCTGTGTCCTTCACTTAACTCTTTACTTCTGTTTAAATCAATGGCTTTACAAGATTTTTCCACCATAGCCCTTGGGTGGAGCTCACTCTTGCAGTTCCTATAACATCTCCTGTAAAAAGTGAGTTTTTGATTTTCAAGCTCGGATCTCATATCCTCTTAAAAGTTTAACATAGAGGACTTGATAGACACCGTTCTCAAAATTCTTGGAGACATTTGGGTGTACCCTGGGGACTCCTGGCAATGCCCAACAAAACTCCTAAGGTTACAACAATGGAAAATAGCAATAAAAATAGTAATAGAAAACAATAGAAAGGAAAAAAATCACATGTGATAAAGAATGAGCCATTTGAAAGATCAGAAATTCAGCTGAGATTATTTTAGTTGAAAACCTCAAGACGGAAAGGAGTGTTAGGTCTGCATACAAGAAATGAAAATAAGGGTGTCTCTGTCCCTACAGCAACACATGCCCTACTTCCGGAAGCGGATGGTCTGGGAAATCCTCCACCGAAAGCTCTTGTGAAGACTGTCTCAATTAGCAGACGTGGACTTGTGGGAGACCAGCTCTTTGTTGTCTACGGCCAGAGACCTTGGAAACAGCTGCTCCCAACCCTCTGTTCTTGTAAAGTCCTTGATCCTGGACCAGGCCCTGGAGAGATGCACTCACAAGCACATCTGCCTTTCCTTTTGTATCTCAGATACTATTTTTGCAAAGAAACTTTGGTGCTGTGAAAGGGGTGAGGGACATCCCTAAGCTGAAGAGAGAGACTGCTTTTCACTTCTTCAGTTCTGCCATCTTATTTTCAAAGGGCTCCAGCCTCACTCAGTCTCTAATTAGGGGCCTGAGAGAAGCTTGGAAAGACTCTTGATTTCATGTAAACTCTTGTTGTTAGGCCTTACTAAGAGGTAGGAAAGGACGTGGGCAAAAAGGTAGGGATGAAAACCACCAGCATATACACGCACACATACATAAACACAGGATTTTCAAGATATGTCACTGGGAAAGTGACTGTAAACTGGACTTTGGGGCACCTGCGTAATTCCCTCCTCCAGGACTTTTCCTATTTATATGCCCCTTTGTGAAATCCGTCTGCTTCTGTACAAGGCTGTTTTATCATCTGTAGCTTCTTCCTCTCCTGAGGCACAACACGTGAGCCCTGGATGGACCCCAAAGTCCCAGGCAGTACTTTCCTTAAAAGCAGAGGCTTGCATGTGCTCACAACACATGACATGGGGAAGACCCACCCAGGGAGCGGTTTAGTGGAGCGACAAGGCACCACTTTTACTGCTACCTACTTCTGACCAAGAAGAAGGACCTCAGTCTTTAGCATAAAATTCCAGCATTGGATGAATGCAGGTCTAGTTTGGTCTGTGGCTAGCTAGTTTAAATATGTTTCTAACCACAGAGAATTTAATATATATATATATTTCACAGGGATATGTTTTTGTTTTTTTTTTTTTTTTTTTTGAAGGCTGAATGTGTTCACCATTTTAGCCTGTAGGTTTATTACCATTTTCCAAATTTAGCTCCAGCACGCACAGATCCCAGCCCCTATGTGTAGGGTGTTTGTGGACTTCCTAACAGAATATTTTGATTCCTGGATGGATTTGGCTTAGGGGTAGAGGTTACAGAGGGAGGCGAGATTTTCAACTGGAAAACGGGTGGAATTTGTACTGATCAACCTGAGAATGAAAAACTGCTATTCCTTTTGTTCTATGTGGCATCTCCCCACCCTCTGAGCGCTCCTCAGGCTAGATAGTGAAATGATCCAATGCCAGTGTCATTTTGTACTTAAGCTCCAAAACAGGAACATTTTATACTTTTTTCTGTATTGTAATAGGTAGTTTTGTACGAAATCTTTTCTTCTCTTCCCATGTACCTCATCCTTTCCAACATTGTGCTTTCTCCCTGGGCTTATTTGAAAATTTTACTCTGTTTTATATCAAGCTTGTTTAGTACATTTTTCTATGTGTTACCACAGGTTACAATTTGAAAAGAAAACTATTTTTTTTAAATATTCCATTGTTAACTGAATGTTACTGTTTTCCACTCCAGCAACTAGATGTCCTACGTTTTTCATACTGCCGGCCTTTAGGGGGAAGACCACCTTTTGTTTGTTTGTTTTCTTTTTTTTTCTTCTTTCTTTCTTGCCTGTTTTGTTTTGTTTTGTTTTGTTTTGTTTTGGGTTTTTTTGGTGTTTTCTATAGGAAATAAATAGCTTTCTATATATGAGTTCCTGGGACTTTCACATTCTCGTTTAGAGAGCTATGGCATGCAGGCTCATTGTGGGACTCCTGAACATTGATTCTTGGTACTTAATGTATTTAAGTGACAACTTGAAAGGTGACAATATCGTATAGATTTTGGACCATGAATCAAAAAGACCTGAGTTTTTCAGGCACTCTTGCTATTGTCTGGGGGACTCAAAACAAGATACTTCTCTGTATTTATTGTTTGTCCACTTAGATAACATCTGTCTTACCTTCCTCACAGACTTTTTGTACAGACCAAAGCAACAAATATTTATTGCCATGTACAGCAGAAAATGAAACATGCAACAAAAGCACTTTGAAAAATATACAAGGAATTGTTAAGCCTGTCTGAATTTGGCCCCACTTTCTGACCAGTGCAGTTTTGTACAAGGTGAAGTTAGTGATCCTGAGATGCCCTGCATGAGTGGGCCAGGCTGAGACACAGGTTGTGGTCCAGGGTGGGAACCAAGTAGACTTAACATAGTGGGGGCCATTCTTTCCAGAGAGCTGCCCAAGAAGAGCAGGACTAGCATCTGGAAACTTTCTTCTTCATTTAAGGGCGGACCTTGATGACAGGGGGAAAAACTAGGACGTTCCTGTATTCCATGGCCAAGGGCATGTTACCAATGCCTTGTTTAACCTGCTTTAAACTAAAGCCTATTGCTTTCCTTTTCTCTGATCTTCCCCTCTCCTCTGTGTCCAGTGCTCATAATTACTTGCCTCCCCTAAAAAAAGGAACACTTGATGGATGATAAGCTCTAGATGCCAGATATGAAGCCTTCAGCAGAAACCACAGTCTCAACAATCACTCCTGGACCCTGTACAGAGAAAATCAGACCATTCCTGCCCATTTGAGGATACATGGTGCGAGACGCAGAGGCTAGTTCCATCCCATTTGTCACCTGGGACCCACCGTTGCTCCCGGGAGCCGTGTTTAGGGTTGTATGTAAGCGCTTTTCCCTCATCTGGCCTGGATACTTTGTGTAAACTGACTCCTCTGTATATGAGGTGCTACATATTTCTCTGTGGTATCAACTTCTCTCTTATTTTGCCCTTGTAATTGTGCTAGCCTCTTCTACCCACTGCCCCTAGCAAGATTAGCCCCAAAGTTTTAGTGTTCTGGGATAGAAACAGGTTGCCTGGAAAAGCACTGCCAGCAGCCATATTCCATAGTCTGTCCATCGCCACCTGGTTCTACGTGGCCCATAAAAGGCTCTAGTGGGTAGAGAGGGAGGGTTCACTTCAGAGCCCTAATGTTTTTAACGTTTCAGCTTCTGGTCCTTCTCCTGTGCCATCCCTCCAGCTCTCAAATATGTCTTAACCCAGAGTGAGAGAGACAACTGACACTCGGCATTTGTCTTCTCCCTTGCTCCACCTGGATGGGCCGGGGGGTTGAGGTAGGGTGGAATATGATGCTTTCATCCTGGGAGCTCACATACTCAAGAGAGTCAGAAAAGGACGTGAAATGCTATCAGGCCCTATTGTTGACTCAGACTACATGCTGAGCTCCTGGCAAAGTGGCCATATTTCCCTACCCAGGAGCAATCTGTCCACAGCTTCAAATTCATCCTAAAATTTGGGAAGGGACAAGTAAGGCTCAACCCAACAGCTTTCCTAATAGCCCAGGCCTTATTTCACCTGTGCTGAATCCTAGTATCTGTCTTTTAAGAGCCCATAATTCCTATTCCCAGCTTTGGGGGTGGGGAGTGACGTAACGTAAGGGTAAATGGGGTTATGCTGGTCACCACTAAGAGAAGAGTACTTATACATCCCCTGTGGGAGAGAAATGGGAAACTAGGAGACTTTTAGCTACAAGATAAACCTTGAGGAAACCTTAGTGCAGGCTGCCTCTCTGGCCTGTCAGGGAGAGGGTGGGGAGAATTCCAGTTGGGAGTGGTTGAACCAGATGTCCAGGGTCTGGTCAAAGTCTAAGATTCTGAAATGTTATTGAGGGTCATAATGCTGCTTGGAATAGAAATTGGTCAAGGTAGAGATTCAAAGTCAAGTTTAAGGCCAGTGTTAACACTGGCTTGATCTTAGAGTTAAGGCGCAGGTCAGTCTTTCCTAATGGAACGGATCATAGCTGCTGACTTTTCTCCATTCTAAACTGAGGAGTAACCATCAACTGCTTGACTTCTGGAGATTGTCCTTCCTTCCTTAGCAGAACTTTAGTGCTGGGAAAGGAAAGTTGTCGGGGAGAGGCACACAAGGAGCCCAGAGTCTTCAACCTGCTGGGCACCCCTCATCCAATTTACTCTTACTGCTTTGAAGAATACACAGCGCACACACACCCAAATCTCACCTCCTTGAAGCCTTCCCTGATTACATTAAAATCTCTTATCTGGACATCTGCAGCGCTTAGAAAATAATACAACTCCACATGGCATATGTATTGTAATCTGTCCTTTACATCAAGAATGGACTGAGACCTGTGTTGCCAGTGAAGGCAGGTGAATGATTTGGTGCTTTTTTTCCAGGCCGGGAGTGCAAGCTGCTTCTCTCTGGCCTGCTAGGGAGGAGTAGGGGTGACTGACTAAACATTTACATAACCAGCATTGCACGAGTCCGGGGTAGAAGGTACACTCACATCAGCCTGCAGTGAGGCTGCACCTCCTTTGTGACCCTAAACCTAATGCCTCACTCTGCCCTTAACAAAAGCCCCTTCCTCAGCAGTTTGGCATGTCCTTCAGTGGTTTCAGTCTCTATGCAAGGGGCCTAATCAAAGTATTTTTTCCCTAACCACACACCTTTCTATTATATACAGTTTTCTTTATGTTTTTTTTTTATTTCCAGTGATGTTGTACATCCATTATGGATTGTGGGTCCCCTTCTGTCTGCCTTGTCCTTTAAATGGACTGTTTTACATGCTGGCTGTGTCTTGTCTATTAGCCAGAGCTAAGTCCTGGAGGGCATTTTCCCCATCTAATACTTCTGGGGAGCCTCTTATGCTAGGTGTTTAATAAGCCTGTGTTTAAGCACTGGGCTTGGGGGCCCTGGAGGGTGGAGTGAAGAGATGGTTTGACCATCTGGTGGAAATGGTTTGACCATTTGGTAGAAATAAAAGCCACCCATCCTCGAAGACCTTAGAGTCTAACTCATGTAGGAGGCCAGGCAGATACCAAGCAATGGACCTTATCAAGAAGGCAGACTCATAGGCATATGGTCCAGTTTGAAGCTGGGTGTAGATGATGGAGGGGCAGAGGTGGAGATAAGTCATGGGTGATGTTGCCTTTATCTGACTATCTATGTGTGACTCTCTCCCTAGTTTTTAAAAGTTGATTTATTTTAAAATAAATTCTGTGGATTTTGCTTTCTTGCTTTGACTTGGAAACTCCCTGGTAAAAAAGGACTTGATGGTGTTTGTCTCTCTGACTGTCTCTCTGTCTCTTTGACTGTTTGTTCTGTCTCTGTCTGTGTCTGTGTCTCCTGATCCAAGCTGGACCAGTGATTGGATCCTCAGTGTGGTCTGGATTCCGGAGTCCACGCCTTAACCAGGAGTCTGAATACTGTTCATTCATTCATTTCATTCCACATACCTGGAATTGAAGTCTGAAACGCAAATAACATGCAAATCTGTGGCTCCTTGGCACTTTTTAAAACCAGACCTGTCTGTGGAGCCAGCCAGAGAGCCCTCCTGAGCCAAACACACCAGTCGGGACTTCCAACCCACCCTGGATACCTAACAGCATCCCTTGTCTCCTTGCCCCTTCCCACACCCCTTTCTCCTCCCCATCTAACCTCCAGGAAGTGCTTCCGCTGGTCTACCTGTAAAACTTGCACTCCAAAGAATAAAACAAGAAAGCACCAACTTCTGATAAATCTTCCACTACCCTGGTGAAACAGTTTTATCTGTGTTGAGTTAGAAGAGCTGCTTGTCATCTCCAGGACATTCTTTTTTTTTTTCAATAAATTTATTTATTTATTTATTTTTGGCTGCTACTCTTCGTTGCGGTGCGCGGGCTTCTCATTGTGGTGGCTTCTGTTGTTGCGGAGCATGGGCTCTAGGCGCGTGGGCTTCAGTAGTTGTGGCACGCGGGCTCAGTAGTTGTGGCTCCTGGGCTCTAGAGCACAGGCTCAGTAGTTGTGGTGCACGGGCTCAGTGGCTCCAAGGCATGTGGGATCTTCCCGGACCAGGGCTCGAACCCGTGTCCCCTGCATTGGCAGGTGGATTCTTAACCACTGCACCACCAGGGAAGTCCCTCCAGGACATTTCTTGAGTTCTAACATTTTTCTGACACAGTTAAGATTTTTCAGCCGTTTGAAAATGGTTGGAGTGAGGAGAGAAACCTTCAAGCCACCCTTGTTTTCTGATTCCCCAATGTGGTTAAAGATAGCTGACAATTGCCTGGGTCTACAGATGGGGAGAAGACTCCATCACAGTGGGGACCTGGACCCAATCGTGAGTCAGAGACAGCCTCTACCCCCAGGTGGCTGGGTTGGTCTTGGGCCCTGCAGAAGGTTACAAAGGGAAGGGGGGTGGAATTCACGTTCCTTAAGGAATTTGTGTTCCAGATGCGCTTTTTATTCTTTTTCAGATTCTTTTCCATTATAGTTTATTACAAGATACTGAATATATAGTTCCCTGTGCTAGATAGTAGGACCTTGTTGTATATCTATTTTATATATAGTGTTTGTATCAGATGCTCTTCTGAAACCCAGAAAAGAAAGTTTGCTTCCTTGTACACCTGAGCTCCGTTTCCGGTCAGCCCACCACCGGCCAATTACCTGTGCCTACACGGGCCACGAGGCCCTGCACGGTGGCTCACCACCTTTCCAACAGCTTCCCCCATCACTCTGCCCCGGCTCCTTGGTCTTGGCGCACAGGCCTGCTTGGCGTTCGTGTAACAAACCCACCTTGCTTCTGCCTCAGGGTCATTCTACTTGCAGCTACCTGTGTCTGGAGGGCTTTCCCCCAGACACTCTCCCCCCCCCCACTCACCTCACCTCCTTTGTCATTCCCACACCCCAGTTCTCACACTC